ACAGTATCTTTTGCCATTGATGGCAAAAATTATTGTTAATGAAGGATTAGATGCCCCCATCTGTCTGAACTGGCACAAGACAGAAGATCTTTTTTAAAACCAGTCCCTGAGTCTGTGTGTAAATGGTAGATTTGATGTAAATTACTAGTTGACAAAATGAGCAACTTTTCTATTGGCCAACACAAAAGATGTGTTATCAGGAGGGAAAACACAGTTCTCCTTTTTGCTAAGTAACCCCGTAGAAATGTCCCTCGGGCTTTAGCTCTAATCAGCTGTAAACCTGTGAGAATTTAGCTGATATATATGGTATTGGGGGCCTGGTTCTGTGACTGGGACAATAGTCACGTGTCTTTGTCCCAGCAAGAATTAATGAAATCATCATAACACAATGTTTTTGTTTGCTCTGGATATGACAGTAGTGGGGAGGAAACATTGTACAAAGCATTATCTCCCCCTTAATGCAGATTTGCAGACTTTACTTGACTGTAGTGCCCAGTCCAGAACTGGTTTCAGAACTGTCCTCATGGTTATGTTGTAGGATCAGCATGTGTGTCCTCATGCCAAAGGCATGGGTGGCTGGGTCAGGATGTTGGTGCCCAGTGAGGGACAGGGACTGCACACAGAGGGAGCTGCCCTCCTCTCTGAGCCATGCCCAAGTGCTTGCTTGGAGAACTGCAAAACAATATAAAGCAATTGAGGTTTGGGATTTTTCCCTAGAGCAGCATGTTCTGAAGCAGTGAAGTGAAAACAAATGTTTGTTTGGGGAATTCTAATCATGTGTCTGTAAAGGTAAAAACTGTATGGATCTCTCAGCAGGGAATGAGAAACACTAATTGTACTGGGAAATTGTGCATGTGAAGGTGCAGAGCAAAAACTTCAGATTACTGTGCCTAAAAGTAGATCTCAGCATTTCTCTTTAGGCATTTATTAGAACTGGTGTTATCTTGGAATTGAGCAGCATTTAATAATGGTTAATAAAGACTGCTCAAAGACTCCTGCAGGAAAGGAAAAGACAATTTGAGTTCTGGACATCTGTAGAAGAGGGAGTTGCAATAAACATAAAATACTACCAGGTGCTTTATGAACTTAATTTCTCTCCTAGGACTGTCACAGATCCTTGTGACTGTATCTGGGCCTCCACTAGTGCTGTGGCACAGCAATTGGTCAGTGACACCTCTCTGCAAAAACTCCTCATAACCATGCATCTGTGATAGGCATGCGTGGCTTGGAAAAGATGAGCCTAAAAAGGCCTTGGAGTAAATGACACTTGATAAAAGAACTCCTGATTTGCATATCCCAGATATGCTGAAATAACTCACACTGAAGCAATTTCAGCTACTTCCAGGCATCTGCCATCATACACCCTGGCAGCACACAGGTGCTGCAGTCTGCTAGGTGGTGGATGGTGGCAAATGTTAGTGGAAAGGGAAATTCAGGATGCACACTGTCACTGCCCTTCCTGTTTGTCATCCATGCGTCAAGTCAGAGCTTTGCTGGGCCAAAGGATCAGACCCTTGGCACAGTGTTTGCCATGTCCCACAGGGCTCTGCCAAGTGTTCTGAGATGTTTGCTGACGCTGTGTGCTCCTGCCCAGCCAGGACGCTCCCCTCTCCTGGAGGATTGTGAGGGACTGCCAGAGTTTGAGGGCTGTTTTCTCAGAGTTATTACAAGTTCTTGCAATGTGAACCTCTAATATTTTCAAAGACTCAGGCAGAGAAAGGACTTACTAAACAAACTGTACCTGTCATCTCCCAGTTCATTGATTGCTTGGACCAAAGGTGGTGCTAAATCTAATCTTTGTCTGTAATATTTATATTTTGTTGGATTTTTTTTTTTTAAGTGTTTGATAAAACAGATGCAGTGTCCTTCTTACATGAGAAATTTAGTCCCAGCTTGGGACATGGCAAAACTCACTGGACCTTCAGGGTCCAGGATTGTTGCCTGTTAACATTTGAGCAGGCTTGCAGTGTTCAGGGGGAGGTGGGAAAAGGGTACTCTATCTTCAAATGCTTGCAGACTGTAAGAATTGACTTGTGATTTGTTTGTTTGTTGGTATTTTGTTTACATCGCCTCTTACACCCTAAGGAAAAATAAATTTTTGACCTTTTTAATTGTGATCCAGTTGGTTTGTTTTGTTGTTTTGGGGTTTGTTTTTATAATTTTTTCAGCACTGTTTTGATTCCACTTGTGTTTGTCAAACCACTGAATTTATCTTTCCCAGAATACCTTACAACTTATGTGTTCATGCAATTGCAAATTTCAGCTTAGGCTAAATGGATAATGGAGCTTGTCTTGTTCCCAGGCCCTGAGTTGTTACTGTATGCTGTATTTTTGTCTCTTTTCTATTCTACAAAGTTTATGGACTGGTCACTTCAGCCCTCAAACACGAAGAACTTTTGTCTGTGTTGAGCAAGTTTGTAAGGTATTCGGTCAGGATGGTTTTTTGAAGAAGGGTATGGCATCACATCCAAAATAAGAAGAGAAGTGTACTTTTACAAAAGTGGTCCTTTGGTCCTTGGGTTGCTCTACAAAGTGGGATGAGCCCTTATCCCTGTGTGCAGGCTGCAGAGCAAATGATGCTTGAACATGGGATATTAAGGTGTGATCCTGCAAGGTTGCTGGGCACTGCTGACTCCTCTTACCCGGCTTTGAAGGTTGGAGGCCCAAATAGCTCAATAAGTAGAAGTTCCTTCCTGTGCGAAGCCGCAGACAGGTAAAACTGAGGTTTCTAGTAATGGATCCCCTCTCCTTATGTAGGATGTATCTTGGGGATGCTGAAGGCAGTGGATTAGGGGATATAATGACGGGAGATGGTTATAACAAGGTATGTAATAGTAGAGAAGAACCAGGGTTGTTTTTTAGCACTTCAGTTCCCAACTTGATTGTAGGAGATGTTTCTCCATCCTGGCAAGTAGGTGGATGCTCCACAAGGAGTCTTGTTCAGGCACCCCAGCTCTCTGAAGGATGCCAGAAATTAGATCTGACACAGCACACAGTCCTGGGCATTTTAAGGTACAAACTTAGTGACAAATGTGCCTGAGAACTGTGCCCTCTCTTCGCGTTGTGTTGAGTGAGCCAGCCAGCCTCGGTTTGAAAGGGTTTTTCTGGGCTGGTGCAATCACCATATACTAATGTATCCCCCTGTGCTCTGTTAATTACTCCCCTCTTGCCCATTTTTTTTCTGAGGGCTCCTACCAGAGTTGTGCTGCACTCAAGACTAAATTTTTCTGGTCCTACTTACATATATTTGTAATGTTTGTGAAAAGGAGTAAATCGATCTCAGAAGGAGCTGTGTGCCGGGCCGGGCACTGAGCACCAGGTGGCGATGCTGGACCAGCGCTGCAGCTCCTGGACCACTTTCGGAGCATCCTCCCTCATGTTCCTCCTCCTCGCCCCTCCATGGACTCAGAGCCCGCGGCCGGGACACCCCGGGGATGGCCCTGCCTGAAGCAGCGGTCGGGCTGCGGTGCTGAGGATACCCTGTCGCTGGGGAAGGTCAGTGCTGCACCATAGTTGGTCTTGGTGGAGAATAGTTTGGGAGCAACGGTGAAATTGCAGCTCTGGTTTGGATTTGGTAAGGTGAAGGTGATGGCCTGGGGAGGGAGGTCAGGGCAGGTGACTCCAGCGATGCTCAGCAGATAAGGATGCGGAGCTCACTGGGGCTGTTGCATGTAGCAGCTGCAGGAGGGAGTGCACAGATTGAGGCTGTCAGAGGAGAAACTTGGGGGACCTGCCGTGGTTCTTCTTGCTGATGCCAGGGGAGGGCAAGATTTGAGTTTGACTCCGTGTTAGCTCTTCACTTGTCTTAATCTCTGGCAGTGCTTGGGCACAGGATGTCTGGCAGGTCATTGTCCTCCTTTTCTAGGGGCAATCTATGTTGTGCAAGTCTGTCCCTTGCTCCTGAGGGGATGACAAACCTTTCTAGACCCACTAGAGGTCCTCCTGTCCACGGGAAAGCAAGAGCTGGGAACAGCTCTTGGAGGGCAGCACATGTGTATGCAGTCTTACAGCTAGGATCTCCTCAGGCTGGTGTTGAAGAAAGCTGAGTTGTAGAAGTGGTTTTGCTTTACTCAGCCTGGATGTTTTAGGCCACTGGGGAAGTATTAGATGGGAATGGTTTCCGCTGGAGAGGCTGAGGACACCTCTCCTGGGATGTCTCTATCCCTTGGCAGATGGAGCACCCACTGTGAAGGAGAAGATGCGAACTCAAATATGTCCTGTGACAAGAGTGTGATCCAGCTAGTCTCTCATCTGCTGAATAGTGAAACAAAAGGATGAGGGGAAAATCTCACATGGCTGTGTTGTAGGTGTGCTCCTGAGCAGATACCTGCAGCAGAGGAGCTACTGGGTTTTGAGGGAACTGGCATCACCTTTGGAGAACCCAAATTCCCTTTGAGTCCTTGTGTCCCTTGCTTACATGCTCAGGAAACATCTGCATCTTACCTCAGCATCTCCCTTGACCAGACCACAGATTGTCAGTGAGCCTTCTCAACATGTTCGGGGCAGGGATGCTACTGCTCTGCCTCATCTTCAGCCATCTTACCTGGCTCCTATTAGGCTGCACATGTTCTGGGTTTCCTCACAACATGGTTTTTCTTGTGTTGGTGGAGGGTGGGTTTTTTTTGTTACAGGCACTCAGGAGAGACTGTAAACAAGGCAGTAGGAGTAGAGAAGCTATGGCTTCTCTCTGGGGAGGCTATGAAGAGGCTCAGGAGCGTGGGGCTTAAGCTTTCAGGAATGCTGTTAGCCCTCACTTCTACTTCTGTGCCTTCCTTTATTCCTTACATTTGTATAGTGTCCATCAAGGGGATATTCATTATCCATTTTCCAGTGCCCTCTCATCCTCAAGCACTAAGGGAAAGCTTGAGATCTCTCTACCCAGCTCCCTCTAAGGAAGAGCTTCTCATGCCACCTTCGCTCTTCCCTCAGCCTCTCACTGTGCTACTCATCATGTTTTGCTGTGCTGATGGAAGTGGCAAGTACTCAGTCACCCCTGCTGCTGCAGGATATCTAAATCAACTTTATTCACGATCACAGTTATCCAATTTTTCACAATGAGTTATTCTTCTCTTTAAACAGAACACAAAACATCTTAAAGTAAAGCAATGAAATGCAAATGACACAAGAACACGGAGGTACATGGGAACCTACACCAGTCAAACAAAACAAAAGATTAGGATTGTTGTTACTTTTACTGGTTTTGCTGGTTGTTGGTTTTGTTGTTTTTTTTTTCTCCCTGGAAAGAGCCTTGTTCTCCTTCCTACTTAACAGCGGGAGGCCAGCTGATGTGGGAGCAGGACTTAACCCCAATTTTTGAGCTCAGATGCTGGGGGAGCTTTCAGCTTCTACTAACTCCTAGAGTTTGGTCCACAGTAAAACAAACACAGTTAATATATTAAAACACTCTCAATCCAAAAGGTGAAAAGGGAATTCACACCACTGCACTGGTACTCATGGATGGACTTTCTTGAAAAATAAAGTTTACCCCTTGGCTTGCCCTACACGGAGGGAAACTGGTCCCACTGGTGCGGTGAAGGCTCGGGAGGCTGCTTATTGCATGTTTCCCCACATCCACTATTTAATCAACACCTTCCTGCCCCTTGGGTTCTTCCTTTCTGAAATCCTTGCACTGGAGTTTGTATAACTACTGAAACAGGCTTCCTGTGTGCACCGGTCACAGCTCTGTCCCCAGGCAAGCTGGAGGCTGCCTGCCTGCCTGTGGACCAGCCGTGCTCCTGGCATGGCTGCTCTGACTTCCCCCAGACTTGTGCCAACTGGCTCTCCTGCATGAGAGCCATGATGCTCTGGAGCTTTTGACAGCTGGTCCAGGGGACAGGACTGGGTTAGGGTTGTACATCAGAGGTATGCAAAGAAATAACACAAATCCCTGTAACCCGGAGTATCAGCATTCAAGTTAGTGCTGCCCGCTGGGCGGGCTGGGGACAGCTGCAGACCCCCTCGTAGGCTGCAGTGATGGTGGCACCTTCAGAGAAAGGCTCTGAAAAAAAAGTTTCTTTTTTCATCTCCTCAAGAACACACAGCAAGGATGTGTTTTCCAGGCAGTTTTAGGAGCAGCCTCTGCCAGTGTTCTTTCACCCACCTCCTGCCATGTGAGATACGATGTCCCCTGCAGCAAGCAACTGTGTACATTAGATGCTGTTATCCCTCCACCATGCTGTTCCCCTCTGTCCCATCAATGGCCATATGCTGGTGTGCAAGGAAAAGCTCAGCAGGAAGGGTGCAACTCCATGGCCTTCCCTCGTCTGGCCAGATGGGCAACATGGTGGGACAAACTCCCCTGCTGTGGTGCCCCAGCCCTGATCTCCCCTCAGGACCCAGACACAGTCTCTCCCTCCCCTGCAGCCCTGGAAGGCAGCAGGATGGGTCAGGAGGGGAGACAGGCAGCTCCTAATGCTGCCAAGCCACCCAGCTCAGGTGGGTCAGGCCCACAGCCATGGCAGAGCAGCAGCTGTTTACACAGAAACCACGGGGCTGCCATTCTCCCTGCTGGGGACAGGGTGTTCCTGACTGGAGGAGGGAAGGGGATTTGTTTTAATAAACCAAAGCAAACCAAACCCCTCAAGTTGTTTTACATAAGGACAGCCGTGTCCTGCCGGTGTGGCTGTGAAGGGCTGAGTACCACCTGGCTGGTTTTGTCTTAAAGCACAGTGATAAAGTTACCAGTAAAGGAAACCCACAGACATGTGGGTTTATACATTCTTCCATGGTGAGGCTGGGGGTTTTCCTCACAAGTGCTGTCTGGACGGTAGTGGGAGAAAAGGTGAGGGAGATATGCCTCCCTCTCCCACAGGCCCGTGGGAACAGAGATGCTGCTGAATCCCTTGTGCTGTGTGGAGACCACACACAAAGTGGTAGTGGTGGGGTTTGAGAGCCGCTCATCATGCAAGGGGATGGTGATAGGAGGTGACTGGATGCTGCTGGGAGGGAGCAAGACTGTTGCCATTATTGGGTTGCCAAACGTACCACGAATGCCTCTGTCAGGGAGGAGGTGGGGACAGCCCTCAAGGGGCTGCCATGGGGCTGCTCTTCTGTCTGTGGGCGTGAGGTGGGTTTTGCTTCACAAATCTTGAGTTCTGTTCTGCACAGCCTTTCTGCTGTGAGTGTGCTCAATGCACCTCCCTCGCTGGTTCAAAGCTTGCCTTGCTCCATCCTTCCTAAGGGGCCTCCTATGGTCAGGCTGGCTGTACACAAGACATATTCCTTGTTTCTTCTCTACTGCTGTCTCTGCACGTGAGGTGCCTCTAGAAGGAGATGTGGAGCGCTGAACCTTTTACCACATGCTGCTATACAGTGGAGACTCCCCTCTGCTGTGCATGGTGTAGAAAAGGGATGTTTGCACCAGCTGGCTTTTTTTGAAAATCCGCAAGGGAGAGTAGTCCATCACAACTTCCTGACACACTGGAGTTCAGCCCCAGGGCTTGCTTGGAGGGTATAAGAGCAGCATCTAAGCTTGTCTCATCTGTTGTCCATGGAAGAGGGGAGCAGGGTGATGATGAGTGACAGTTTTTGAATCTCCTGGATGACGAATAGAGACCAAGATCTGTGTTGTTTCATGGCCTCCTCCCCGCCTGCCCAGTCCCCACCACGGCATCTGCTGTTGCTCTAAGTGCTGCGGTATGTTTTGATGATATCTTTGATGGCCCGTCTGCAAATGGGGCAGCAAGCATTGGCCATCTTCTTGAGCTTCAGCCCACATGAATAGCAGAGACACATGTGTCCACAGGAGTAAATGACTGTGTCTACCATGTTCTCATAGCAGATGGTGCATTCATCTCCCCAGGGCCCTGAGACGGATGGGGAAATGGGTGACTCAGGCAAGCTGCTTGGAGAGTTGGGAGCTGTGCCTGTAACACAAAAAACAGGGTCACTCACGTTGCTTCCTCACATCCCAAGGTAATTTCTGCCCTGAAGCCAGCTGCAGAGAACCATGTCCTAGCAGAAATGGATGCTCCAGGACCAGGGTTCCTTCTTGTGACCTACTGTCCCACTCACTGAGTCGTGGTTTACATGCCAATGCTCAAGGCAGCAGAAAGGCAACATCTACTGGGGTCTGCTGCCCATGCAGAGCAAACCAAGAGACAGCTGTTATATATCCCACCATCAATGCCTTGGGATCATGCAGATGCCTGGGAGTTTTCAAAGTGCTGCAGAACAGCCTATCCTTTTCAACTGCATGTACATTTATCTACGTATCACTGTACCTCATTAGCATGTTAGAAACAGCAACACTGCATTTTGCTGAAGAGGGTACTGAAGGTATGTGGAGAGAGAAGGCAGAGCTGTAGACAGACCCTTAGCTCCAGTCTAAGCTAGCAACATGTCACTGCCATAAAGCTCTCTAGAAGAAGTTCTGCATCACAGGGCCACGCACGTAGCAGAAAATCCACTGCTTCCCTTGGGACCTTTCATGATGAAAAGGGTTGGAGAAATACTGCTGTCTAGGCATCTAAGCAGCTTCCACGTAAAACAGACTGAAAATAGCCTTTGCAGAGGCTCTCCCTTCCTCCCCAGGGGAGCTGACGGGATAATAATAATAATAATAGTCTGTTGATTATTGTGGTTTTAGAATCCTTCTGGGAGACAAGTGTGAGACTGTGAAAGGAGGCAGGGGGGAGGCAAAGAACAGGCAGCAGGGGATCCCACCACACTTACCACTGATAGAGCTGCAGAGGGGGCCAGAGCCACATGTAGACAATAAGGGGCCAGAGACACCACTGCAGAGGACGGTGGGGGAACTGGGTGTTGATGTGGGCGAGCTTGGTGTGGACAATCCCAGCCGCTCTGCTAATATGGTGGAACCTGCACCGTGAGAAAAGAAACCTACAGTTATTTTTAAAAATTGAGGCTGACAAGGCACTGGGGATACGTGGCAGGGGGTGCAGTTCTCAGTGCTTGTCAGGATTAGTCTCATCAGCACGAGAATCCTCATGCCTTTTTTAATGATACAGCTGGTCCTGAACAGACATCAAACTCCCACAACCGCTGAAATTTACTGGAGCTCTCTTAGCCATCATAACCCTTTGTTTCTGCCCTTAAATGTGTCCCAAGTCATTTAGTGCAGTTATTTCCCATGTGCTTTCCTGCTCATATGTTCCCTTAGCACTATAGCCAGCCATGGGTTTGTAGGACATAGCCTGCAGAAGGGTGGGCAGGATTCTGGCACAAGAAGTGTCAAAGCATCACCTTGTCAAAGCATTCTTTGCCAACCTAGTGCAAAACTGCTTCATTCCAGGCTCTGACAAATACATACAGTCACTCAAGGACTTTCCAGAGACAAACATGAGGGTTTGGCAATCAGGAAACCTTAGCTATGCTCACTGCTCTACTTCTTTGGTTGAGTGGCTTCTGTCAGAGGCAGGGATAAGTCACCAAAATGCATTTGGCTCTGGGATAAAGGAGACCTCTCCCCCCATTCAGGAATGTTTTCTCCGCTCCCTGCAGGTCTAGATGTGATGGCTCAAGAGTGCAGAGCCTCTTCAAGCCTCTCCTAGGTGTACCCAGCTCCATCATCTTCTGCTCTCACTGCCCACCACCATCACCTCCACGGTAGTTTGCTGTCTGCCAGAAAAGCCAGCTCTGTTCCACAGCCTGTCTGCCACCCTCCCTCAGTCTTAGCCTCTTTATTCTGCTGTTATAACAACAAATATCTTAAAGCCCCTTCCAGAAGGGAAAAATATTGGGAATGCTTAAAACTCTACCTGCTGCAAGGAATTTGTAGGGGATTTTCATTGTTACTGATGCAGCCTGGTCTTCACTAAGCAAGTGGTGAGACAGCAGCAAATGTGCATGAACCAAAGGATGGTTTTCTGGTGGTAAGAACTAGCTTGCCTATGGTTTTAAAGTTTCTAGTTCTCCAGCCGAGAAGACAACCAGGGTAACTCCAAATCAGAACTAGAATGCTCAGACTTCTTCATGTTACCATATAAGGAGCCAGAGACACAGAGGTTTGGGATCCACAGTGTCCTCCATGAGTTGGAGGCTACTCCCCAGGGAAAAAGCAGCAGTGGGAGGTCAGGAAAACCCCATGCACCAGAAAGGTCCTTCAGTTCTTATTTGCAGGGAGGCTACTGAGCCAAGAAAGACCAAATCTGAGAAGAAGGGACTGCAAGTGGCAGCTGTGGATTGTGCAAAACAGCAAAAGCAGAGTTCTCCTGCCCTTTTCAGCAGAACAAGACTGAGCAGTTAAAGTGGAGCACGGGGACTGAGGAGGGGTCATGTTTGACTCAAAATCTGTTCTGAGGACTATGTATTAGAGAGGAAGCAATTAGACTTAGCCTTCAGTCCCTCAGTTTTACCCCTCTCCAAAAAAGGAGTGCTCTACTTCCAGGCAGAAGCTGAAATTAAATTAGACTCCTAAAGGGCTTTGGAGCTCTCACACTTGAGATACTGTAGAGAGGTACCCCCTTTACCACACAGATGGGAGCTGAGGCTGGAGTTTAGCTCAGTAAATATGCAAAGAGAATGATGCAGCCTCTAATGACAGCCACTAGCAATAGCCCTTCCCCTCCAGTCTGACAGATGACCTTAGCAGAAAACTTGCCCTGTGGTAACACACACTGAAAACAGGCCCAGCAGGGGCACAGGGTTCAGCTAGTTCACTGCACACACAACAAATATGAACACTGAGCAGCTGAACAAGTTTTTCAAGCCTTCCCTCTCCTCCCTGAGCCTGGAGACATTTCTTCCACTCGGCTGACACACAGCACATTGCACTTCTAACACCAACCTGGTCATTTCATTAAAGGCAAAATAAAGACTGTTAGGAGCATTTCTCTTCCTGGACTAATAGGAGAATTTGGAGGTGCCCCAAGTATCACAGAGTATGAGCTGATGAAGCATGCTGGCAGCAGGGCAAATGGCCTTTCCACAGTGCAAGGAGAGCTCATCAGTGTAGCAACCACAGTTTTCTCTGGTTGGAGCTGGTCTGAGTCCCAAAATGGCCTTACCCAAGACCCATGGGCCAGTAGATACCTTGCCAATTCTTTCTCCTAATACAAGGCGCAGCTCTTGACTTTTCTCCAGCATAAGTATAGAGCTTTGTTTAAAACAATCTGAATTCCCTACCAGACAAGACACATTTCTCCCTTGGTGACAGAATAATCAACATAAGACACGTTACTCACGCTGTTAATATATTGCTGGATGGTGTGCAGATACCATGACAAGGAGCATGGAATGAGATCATGTGCAGAGTGGAATGAGTGTGGCCAGCCTGGCTTAACTAAAACCAGATACATGTGCTCAAGGCCAAACATGCTCATTGTGTGCAAAGAGTTCCCACCAAGAGCCAGCTTTCAAATCATAATTTTGAAAAACTAAATAATTCTAAATAAATCAATTTAAACATTCTTTCTCTCTCTAAATCCTCCAGATCAATTGTCTCTGCTGCTAACTTGTCTCATGCTTGATCTCAAACATGCTGAACACATTGGAATCACCTTTAAATAGATCTTGAATAAATTCCATTTGCTTTTTTATCTTTACAGAGTCCATTATTAGCAAAGTCGAAGGCAGACCGAAGCTTTCTCTGCACTTCTGTCATCGCTCTGACAGAGGTGCAAATAAATGAACCTATATGTTCACCCACAAAAGGAAAGAGATTATTTTATTTTCAGAAGAGAGTTTTACCATGGAATGTACAGGCAACATCATGCCAGGAAAGGCTGCTAGTATGCTAAAGGTTTGTAATTCAAAATGGTCTTGCCAAACTGGAAATAGGATCAGAAGTAAATGGGATGGTATTCAATGTGATCAAATGCAAAAGCAGCACTTAAGCAGAGATAATCAGCTACCCAAATACAGGACAGGGAATTAGTCCGTTCAATTAGAAATACAGCTGTTCTACAGAAGGCGGCCTGGGAATTGCTGGAAGTCACCAGATGATCATAAATCAACAATACCATCCTGTTATGACAAAATTGGGCCAATCCAGGGTTATATGAGGCTGGTTAAGGACTGGAGCAGGAGCCTGGAGCCACTGTGGTATCTCTGTCCCTGGAAACACTCAAAACTTGATGGGACATAGTCTTGTGCTACCTTGGAAGTTAGCCCTGCTTTGAGCAGGAGGTTGGATTAGGTAATTCCCTGGGGTCCCTTCTGACCTAAAAGGTTGTATGATTCTATGATTTTTAGATGGCAACATTTTTCTGCTGCTAAAAAGAGTAAAGAAATAATCTGTTCTTCATGAATGTTCCATATAAGATGAGAAATCATGAGTTCACACTCCTAAGGTATTCAGGTTAGACATTATGTAGATAGTGAAGCACTGTAAAGCAATTAGACTTCCCAGAGAGACTATGGCATGTCCATCATTAGAGCTTTTTCAGGACAGGAAGGTAAAGTAGGCAGTCTCTTGGGATCCCATCCAGCATTTACAATTTTTATGAGAGTAGCTATCTGTATCCATAACTGCCTTTTATAAAATATCCTAACCGTGACCAAAATACAGCAGCTGCGGCTGCTAGAGATGCTTTTGATTCTCTGTGTCTATTGTGGTGAACAGGGTGGTTTTCCAGAACATTGCAATCCACTCTCCGCAGTATCTATGAAGCTGTCCCAACTTTTAAGCATCTCTCTTAATGGCAGCTGTCTGGGGAGAGCTGTGCTTCCCAAGGCTTTACAATGGTAAGAAGACCAGTTACAGTCAATGCTCCCAAAAATACAGAGAATTTTCAATTAACTGTCCCCCTTAATTAATTCATAGAAGTATTATTTCTACATTTCTTTCTAAAACAAAGTGATTATGTTGACCTGTTTGTTCCTGCGTAGGCCCAAGACAGAACTGGAAAACAACCCCAACAACAAAACCAGGTGGGAAGAACAATGTGCTGCCTGCATTCTCCTTCTGAATACGCTTAGGGGCATTTGCTATGATGCAAATAAATACCCAAGGCATCTCTGTGGCCTAGAGCAGGGAGTAGCTGCCACGAATCTGTTCTGCAGCTATTCCCAACCCATTGCTAGCAAGCAGTATATTAATGCTCCCAGATTCAAACTACACAAACTACAGCTGAGGTGGAAAGAAAAGTAATGCCAAAAAGCATGTTGCTTTCTTATTACTATTGACTTTGGATCACTGAAGGTAGGAAAACTGCTAGTTTAAGGCGTTCATAACACATTTCTTAATCTGGTGTCCATTCCTGAGAGGTGTGATAGAAGGGCAGGGCCATTCCTGGGAGACAGATAATAACAACAGAACAACAAGAACTTTATCAGATTATGAAAAACATCCATCAACCAGTGAAAGGTACACAGTAACTTCTTGGGATTTGACCCAGGAATTCCTCATACTGTCCCAGTGTGGGGAGGAGTGTTCATGGTCCCAAGGACACAAAAGCAAGACGCAAACCATTTTACCAAATCTCTGTCTCCCTCTCTTATAACCTTCCCCCTCATAATTAAATTCAACATTATACAGCCCCACTGCACTTTTTCAGATCTTAACCTAAAAGGCCTGCAAGTGCAGTGTCAGAGCACTGGGACTGTGCTTGTGGAAGTCTTGCAGAAACCAGGCTCCACAGGCTGAAAATGTCTGCTGCTTTGAAGTGGAAATGTAGTATCACATAGTCTGAAGACTTCACTTTCAAAGTAGAGAAGAAAAAAATGAGCAATACTCAGTGTTTGCTGGCTGCAAACAGGAAAGCATATAATGATTTCTGCCCCCCCCAATGTTTTCTGGCCATGCCACTAACTCAGCTGTTTCATTCACCTTCTATTTGCACTACTTGTCCTAGGGTCTTAATGACTATTTCACAGGCACTATAAAAATAATGCATAACCCATTGATCTGCACTCCAGAG